TACCACAGTGGCACATGCTCCCCACAGCCACAAGCTCTTGCAGTAAGCAGAATCAGTCGCAGTAGCATTCGCCACCGGAAATTTGCAGAAAAATCCTTGTACCATGCAGAGCACCACTGTATCCTCAGCTTGCCTAGTCTCTGGAAGGCAGCAGTGAGTTATTAGCTGCATGGAAGGTGCCTGCAGGGAGCAGAAACAGTGAGGGAGAACAGGGGTGACAGGTTTTTGGCACTGGGTCACGGCAGTGTTCAAGCCTAGCATTTTTGTGACAACAGAATGGTGTGTTTCCAGCTGTATTGCATTATCAGGGAGGAAGGGCTGGAGTGAGTATAAAGAAATCTAAAGGTGGTCACTGGGGAAGGACTTCCTTGCAGATGGCAAATTCCTGGCCTCGAGCAGCGGTCACCTGGCCTGTCTCAGCTGCAGCTAAGCTGAAAATGACCCTCTGCCAGAACACACCCAGGTGTTCATGATGCTCACCCCCCACCAGAAACCACCCCACAGCACTCTCTCCTAACTTGCTGGTTTAACCATGTACCCTCACCTTTCTCAGAATTCATACCAGGTAACTTCAAACTCCACCTGAGGTGACAGCCACCCCTTGTGCAGTGCAGCACAAAGGTTCTCAGCACACCATAACCAGCAGCACTGGCTGCTGTGCTACAAGGAGACAGAGAGAAAGGAAGGGGTGCCAGAGACCTGGGCCCTGCAAGCCTAACACTCTCTTTTCACTGACACTCCACATTCAAATCTCTGACAAGCTCTTCTTTCATGGAACCTGTACTCCAACAGAGGAAGTAATTTATAGATATCTCCCCTGACAAGGAGAACAGGGAACAGGGGGACTGAAGAGTGATGTCTGCCTGCAGTGACAGCTCAGTTGCAGAGCTACAAATCCCAGCTTTCCCTGAGACACACGTAAAACTTCCTACAGCACACTAAATCCAGGTCAAACACACAGAGGAGTATCAATAAGAGACTCTTCTTTCCCAGCTTATTTCCTTTCCAAAACTACAGGTGATCAGGTCCTGCCACTTGAGAAGCACTTGCAAACCAACTGTTTCTAAAAGCAAGAGAAGAAACACAGCCCTGCTCTCACGTCAGAGTGACAAACCTTTGTAAAACAATTCGCTTCCCTCCGCTCCTACTCACTTGTGTTTCAAAAAACATTTCGTTCAAAAGCAGCTCTTTAAAGAGGTTATATAATAAGTGATTTGTACCACAAAGCTGGCTAGTTTCAGCCCAGCTACTTAGATCATAGTTGGATTTTATTTCCTGGTTAGCTGGCGGGACTCATGTCCAGTGACGAGCCTGTGGGCAGAGGATGCTCCTGGCCATTGCATTTCCTGGCCAGGAGAGACAGTACCACAGTGCTCTGCTGTTTCTGCCTATTCAGTAATGAGCTCTGCTCTTGTATCTGTCCAACTCCAATTCCCAGACAGGAAGGAAAGTGGGCAGTGCTTGAAGATTCTTATTTTTTCACAGATCATGGTTATGTTTAACATGCTCCATACTCACAGCAGCCAAAAAGCCATTTGCAGCAGCACCAGGCTCCCCAGGGGCTAATCTCAGCACAAAGAACCCTTGCTGAAAGTTTAGTGAGGTCATATGTCTGGCAAATGTAATGGCAACAAATTAAACTACTTTTTTAAGAACTTGGCTTCCACTGTGCCTTGGTGATCCAAAACAAAATCCTTAACTCTTCATAGCCTCCTCCTGCACAGAGCTCACCACATGAGGTTTTCAAGGCAGGATTTGTCCTCGAGCAGTGCAGAGGCCATGTCAGCCCAAAGCCAAGCCACAGGTTTGGCTCCTCACTTGGCTGCTCCACTGCTCCCCAAGTTAACAGCTTCAGAAATGGGACACTGCAGATGTGCCCACAATAAAAAAAAAGATCATGAGTATAAAAACAAAAGTGGGTTTAATTCACTCCAGAAGCTCCACTCTCCTCAGCACTCAAAAACTGTGGTGCAGTTTTAGTGGATAAAGCATGGAGCCTCAGGACAAGACAAGCAACAGGATATGGGCTCCTCAAGA